CCAAATTCACCTATTTTTATTCATGTCAAATCATTTCGGTTCAAGTTGGAAGGAAAAATCCTTCATGGGATCAATATTTCGGGGGAATGACCATAATGGGCTCCCCGTTTCTAGGCCGCCACATCAGAACCTGGGCATCGTTGGCGTTAGGCTTAACCAAGGCATTGATTGGGATGGGTTCATTGTGAGTTTGAACTTGAGGCTGTTCCTGGACCAGTGGCTCCACGACTGTGGCTCTTTGACCCAGAGGCCTCTTGGGGTCCACTTTAACGCAGATCTGCATCCTCCAGCGGATGGTCCGGAGCAGCACCATCTCAGCTGTGGTTTCGTTCATAGCCACCAGCCAGGTAGTGAAGCGCTGGTCCCTCTGAATGGCACTCAGAAGAGGAGGGCTGCTGGTGGTGCCCACCGGGACACTCCACGTCACACTCGGGCAGAAGTTGTCGTTCATGCTGACAGTGAGTTTGGTGCTCTTTTTGGTGGGACCCACTATGGTGTACATCTCAGTGGTGCAGCCGTACCAGGGGTAGTTCACGCCATCCGAATCACTGATGGCCTGTATTTGCCCACATCTCAACTCTGGCAGCTCCCAGCTGGATCTGAAGAGGGAAGATGACACTTGTCTTTCAAATGAGAAGTGTCTTGAAGGGGGCGGGGCCTGTCAGGTACTAGAAAGCATTTGATTGGTTGCGATTTGAGGGAATGATGCACAAATAGAAAGCCCCGCCCCCTACTCAATACATCGCCATACTGAAATGAAAGTCTTTGTAACTTATGATTCACACAGACTTGAATACTGGAATATTGTCATCCATGAAAACATACTGAGTAATGCAACTCAAAAAATCCTGTCTTTTTTCTGGGAGATTTCAGTTCCTTCACTCAAAATTCATTTCAAAAAGTGCATAAAGCAAACAAGAATTTAATCCATATGCATCAAGATATTTGGTTAGAGTCTTCAGAAGACACACGGTCATGTTATAAGATGAACAGATTTGATTTATTCTTCAACACTAGTTTAACAATAGACACTAATCATCATGTAGACGTTAGACATGTTTGGACGTCTATTAGACATCTTTTAAAAACAAAAGAGAATTGTCTGCTTTTGTATTTGTCTATTTCGTGACTTATTCTGCACGTACGAGCTGACGCAGTTATGGTAATCTTTTTAGCTCGATACTTCCAGTCTCATTTACTTCCATTGATTTCCAGGCAATAAACACAGCTCGTTAAGCTGCTCAATGTTGCAAACTGATATTTTCTTATTATGTTATTCTACTTGTTATGTATAGTCATGAACATACTCGTGTGTAGAGCAAGTAGTTTGACCCATTTTCTGCTGTTCATTATTCCTAGGCATTTCTCCCATAGTCAAATCATTTGGAAGTCCTCAAACAAGCGCAAAAACGAGCACATTTTCGCATGACAGAATAAGGTCGATTGTTAGATGTCTATTATATTTTCACTTTTATTCTTGTTTTAGCAAAAGTCTATGTTTGGAAGTCTATTAGTTGTATTTTGAAAATAAAAAAAGCCTGCTTTTTCTCATTGCATGCTTGATTACTAGTTTATTTTTGGACCATTTTTAGATGTCTATTAATTTTTCTTTATTTAGCCTTGTATTAGCAAAAACGTCTATGTTTGGGCGTCTATTAGATGTATTTTAAAAAACAAAAAAAATTGTCTTGTTTTGAATTTGTATCTGTCTATTTAATGACTAGTTTATGTTTGGGCTATTTTTAGATATCTATTAAGTATTTTATTTACATTTAGCCTAGTTTAAACTAATACGTCTATGTTTGGACGTCTATTAGATGTATTTTAAAAAACCTAAAATGCCTAACTAGTTAATTTTTGGACTATTCTAGATGTCTATTAAATTTTCACTTTCATCAAGCCTTGTATTAGCAAAAATGTCTATGTTTGGACGTCTATTAGGTGTCATAAAAAAATGAAAAAGGATTGCCTGCTTTTTTCTATTTGCATGCCTATTTGATGACTAGTTAATTTTTGGACTATTTTTAGATGCCTATTAAAATTTTATTTTTGTTTAGTCTTGTATTAGCAAAAACATCTATGTTTGGATGTCTAGTAGATGTATTTTTTAAAATGCCTACTTTTTCTATTTGTGTATGTCTATTTACTGACTAATTCATTTTTGGACTATTGCGAGATGTTTGTTAGATTTTCACTTTCATTTAGCCTTGTATTAGCAAAAACGTCTATGTTTGGATGTCTATTAGATGTATTTGGAAAAACAAAAAAGGATTGCCTGCTTTTTCTATTTGTACATCTATTTGATTACTAGTTTATTTTTTGACCAATTTTAGATGTTTTTTTAGTTTTTAATTTTCATTTAGCCTTGTATTAGCAAAAATGTCTATGTTTGGACGTCTATTAGGTGTCATAAGAAAAAAACTGAAAAAGGATTGTCTGATTTTTTCTATTTGCATGTCTATTTGATGACTAGTTTATTTTTGGACTATTTTTAGATGTCAATTAGAATTGTATTTTCATTTAGCCTGGTATTAGCAAAAACATCTATGTTTGGACGTCTATTAGATGTCTTTAAAAATGGCTTCTTTTTGCATTTGTTTCTGACAAATTATTTTTAGGTTTGGACTATTTTTAGATTTTTATTTTAATTAAGCTTTGTTTTAGCAAATACGTCTATGTTTGAAGGTCTATTAGATGCACTTAAAAAAACAACAACCTTTTTTTGTATTCGTATCTCTCGATTTATTGACTAGTTTATTTTTGGAATACTGCTAGACGTCTATTCGATTTTTATTTTTATTTAGCCTTGTTTTTACAATTATCTATCAATTGTCTATGTTCTGACGTCTATTAGATGTATTTTTTTAAAGCCTGCTTTCTGTATCTGTTTATTTGATGACTAGTTTATTTTTAGATTTCTTTAAGTTTTTAATTTTCATTTTGCCTTGTGTTAGCAAAAATGTCTATTAGATGCCTTTTAAAAAAACAAAGCCTGCTGGGAAATGTCTAATTCATACAAATTATGTATGCAATTTGCATACCATTATTGGAGGCATGAGCAAAAAGTACAAAACTATATGAATGAAATATAAATTTATAGGAATTAGCCACTAAATTAAAGTTACAAATTACCCATGGATTGTGTAGATCATATTCAAATTTTGCATACTACAGACCTGATTGCTAAAATTTTCAAATTAGTTTGTTAAACTCAAACAAATGTTCTTGTTTGGGCTTCTGAAAAAACCTATACCTAAAAATGTATACTTTAAATGGTTATTGAAAGAAAGGTTTATTGGGGAACCTAAAAGGCTTTTTCTAAGACATGAGTGCATATATCCCTTATTTGCAAGAGACTGAATATTAATGTCAGGGGAATTTGAATAGTCAATCTTGGTGCAAATAACGCCTTCAGCTAGTTTTCTCAGGACTCACCCTCTAGTAAATGGTAAGTCCTTTGTCCTGCTTGGGGTGTGTTCAACTTTTTCTGCAGTTTAGGAAACAATCCCAGGAAATTGGTTCACAAACATTACTAACATCCTGAGAAATCACTTTTACATAGTCTCACATGCCACCCAAACTACACAGGAGAAAGCAGCATCATTATTTATAGTAATCATCATGGATCTAAATCGTTTATAAAAGTTGTCTTAATTTACAGTTGAAGTCAGAATTATTAGCCCTCCTGAATTATTAGCCCCCCTCTTCAAAGGTGGGCTAATAATTCTGACTTCAACTGTATATACATGATACATGAGACGCATATATACATGTTTTTTGCCCAATATGATATATACAGTCAGGTCAGGAGCTGTCACTAGGTCAGTATCTTTTAAAAGGTACACATTTGTACCTGAAATGGTGCATATTGGTACCTTAAATATACAAATTAGAACCTTAAGCGTACATATTTGAAGCTTGTGCTTCATCCCGCTCCATTTTCAAGCATGTTAAATTTTTATAAAATGTAAAATTTATAAAATGTATTAATTTTTTTTTATTTATAAAATGTATTTATTTGTTTTTTTGTTGAAGACATTTTATGTATAATATTTCTGTTTGAAAAATAAATAAATAAATAAATAAAATTAAATACATATTTGTACCTAAAAAGTAGAAATATACCAAATTAATGATAGCTCATATGCCTTTCTTTCTGAGAGATATAAGTTGTGCTATTTGTGTAATTTCTCTACATTTCCAATGTTGACTAATAGTTGTTCAACTTTTAAAAATATTGTATTAGTAATAGATACTAGCTTTTAAAGAAAACAAGCAGAAGGGTAATGAGTGGGACAAAAAGCGGAAACAACATTTTAAAAGATTTATTATATTATTAGAAATTTATATATATACAGTACCTGTATATAAAAAACAATAAGTATTTACTAATATTTTATTTCTGCTTTTTTAGAGAAGCATTAATTTAAAGTGAAGTAATATTTACTTTCAAGGAAATATGGTCACAAATATTTGTGTCCGCATCAAAATAAATTGACGAGTGTGTGTGTGTGTATATATATATATATATATATATATATATATATATATATATATATATATATATATATATATATATATATATATATATATATATATATATAGATAGATATATATAGATATATATATATATATATACACACACAGTTGAAGTCAGAATTATTATACCCCCTTTGAATTATTTTCTTTTTTTTTATTTATTTTTTTTTTCCCAAATGATGTTTAACAGAGCAAGGAAAATTTCACAGTATGTCTGGTAATATTACTTCTTCTGGAGGAAGACTTATTTGCTTTATTTAGGCTCGAATAAAAGCAGTTTTACATTTTTTAAACACCATTTTAAAGGCAAAATTATTAGCCCCTTTGAGCATTTTTACAGACTGTCGACAGAACAAACCATCATTATACAATAACTTGCCTAATTACCCTAACCTGCGTAGTAAACCTAATTAACCCAGTTAAGTCTTAAAATGTCACTTTAAGCTGTATAAAAGTGCCTTGAAAAATATCTAGCAAAATATTGTTTACTGTCATGATAGCAAATATAAAATAAATTAGTGATTAGAAATGAGTTTTTAAAACTATTATGCTTAATATTGTGTTGAAAAAAAAATCTTCTCTCCGTTAAACAGAAATTAACAGAAATTAAATAAACAGGATCTAATAATTCAGGGGAAATAATAATTTTGACTTCAACTATATATATATATATATATATATATATATATATATATATATATATATATATATATATATATATATATATATATATATGCAAAACATAATAATAAATTAAATTAAAATATCCCCATTAATGTTTCAAAATACTTGTGAAAAAATTTGATTAACATAATATTGGTTATATATTCAAGAACCAGCTGCTTTTGTTTTTAATTAAAGCCCTCACCAATAAAAGCACCAAAAGACTATTCATATTGCGTCATGTGAACTCACTTACACTCCTTCGTTTCCATATATATTGAAGAAGTCCATCTGATTGCAAGCCTGAATCCATCCAACAGTCCAGATCTCTTTGCAAAGCATCGGTGGCACCTGCACCTGAGCGGATGCCCTGAAGTAAGGCGTGCGGTACCGCAGAACCACGTTTGAGGACTCATCCAGGACCGTCGGACTGGGATCGATGGAGGCTTGCAGCTCCAGGACTGTGATGTTCTCATGAAAACTTGGCTTGAGTTTGACACTCTGCACACATCCCATGGTAGTAGAGGCTCTTAGGAGCGGTGGCACAAACACCCATCAGTATCCAAAAGAAGTCAAATTCATGATGATGGGGAAAAAGTCTCTGGTAACAAGATCACTGGATCACCTTGTATTTCTTGTAATCTCTCCCAACACAAATCCCAGGTCTTTTCCCTCTTTCGGTCGAGCAAACATATAACAACAAACCTTACATGTTCAATCCAGTAATAAAGAACTACGACGTGTTGGTTTCCCTCAAAAATAGCATATATGATGTCAGCTCATATGTCGTCTGTATTTAAAATCAGAAATGTTTGAGTAGCACCTGTTAGGTGTCGTCCAATTGTGCGGCATTACGACCTGTTATTACGCTCCGCTCCTGTCAAAAGTCGCATGTCGTCGAGTCGCTCCATAATTCAGAAAGTTCATCCGGATGACAGGACAAATAAGCAACATTAGACTTACTTTGCGTTTTTTTTTTTATTCCACTGACTGAGGCTTTTTTACAGCTCGAGCTGCACGCCGCGTCTTCTAGCATAAGTTGAGTCCAAAATTGTGGGTGTCAAATTAATTGCCGGTGTTGTGTGATTTTCCGCCTCATTTCTGAGAGGTTTAAAAAGGGCGACCAGTCGGGTTATTTTGTGTCGCCCTTGCCCTATTATAAGGGTGGTCAGGTTCCTCTGGTGTAATACAATACTTCAGCTGTTGGCTTTTTTTATCCAAGCGGCTTAGAATTAGACTTCCCTTCTTGGCGACGTTTTGCATCCTGGGTAGTGTAGTTTTAAAGCAGGGACACAGACGTTAAACCAGTCAACAATTTCACTAAACACAGTCCAGGCCCGTAGCCAGCCTGGCGAAAGGGCTGGGTTTTTTTTTTCTCCTCAAAATGTCGACTTTTTTGCAGTTATTCACCTCATTTTCTATTTAATTATGATGTTTAAATACTCCTAAAAGTGGAATTTGAAGCACTATTTTTAGCTAGATTAGCTTGTTGTATCCTTTATTTTTGATGTACCAAAATATTTCCTAAAGATTTATAATATACAAATACAAAAGCATCGCGATTTTCTTCTAGCCTCTCTTGAAAATTCACCAAACAACAACAGCCTAACTAGTATAAATAGCAAAAGTCAGCCTAAGGCACTCGAAAAATGTGGAAAGAAATATTAAAAAGCTTTTACTGACATGGCTATTTCTTAAAACTGCACTGAAAAAAATGATTTAGCCCTCTATTAAATTAAACATAATTCAATTTAGTTTATTTTAAACAATTTAATTTAGTTGTTGATTTTATTAAATTATTTTTAATCGGTTTTAAGTGAATTAGATGTGTTTTAAACCAATCTAAATTAATTAATTAAAGTCTATTAGAAAAAATTATGTTAGCTTTGTGCGCATGCGCATTATGTTCCGTTGCCTCGGCGCCAAAGCCCAAAGGAAGTTTTACAGAATCCAGTCAGATTGAAGCAAGACGCCAGAGCCGGAGTTTTGTACATCCATTTGCACAGTAAGTCACATTTTATATTGTACCAGACTGTTTATTACATAAAAAACTTTGTGGGTAACATAGACGCATAAAATGGTCTCTCGTTCGGACTGTCTATTTTGGTCGTTTTTAAATTTCACGGCGACCAGCCGTCGAGCGCGCTCGCAAGTTAAGCTAACAGTTAACGTTACACACGGTTTGACAAATCTCGCTTTTATGTCGCAGAAAATATTAAAGATTCTTTTTAGCAAGAATGTAGTTATGTAGACTTGATATATAATATTTTTAATGAAGTGAATGGCTATTTTCAAGAGAATAAGCATTTTCTTTGGTGTGACGACAGTGTCCGTGATCCGCCATTCCAAACGAAAAAAGCTTCGTTGCTAACGTTAGCTCAGTCCTTTGTGAATTTACCGTGGCTTTTACTATGGTTAACATTAAACATGCGTTTAGATAGTTGTGAACGGACAGTACCATACTGATTTTGTTATAGAACGATTTGGTCTGGCGTTAGGGCACTACTGACTGTCTTAGGAGGTTGTCGAATGTGTGCCCATACTGGCGTAACATTAACTTTTAACGTAAAGGGCGTCCATTTATACAGTTCTTTATTTTTTTTTACGTGAGATGCTGTAATTATGTCTTTGGGTTATAATGCTCTTAATGGGCTAACTTATATTCACAGCAAGTGTTTATCAGCCACCGATAAACGTCCAGCGCAAGGTTAACTTAATGTGACTTTTTCCATATTCATAAAGTGCCTTTTACATCAAAGATAATGTAATTTAACAAAAATAATATTCTTTAAATAAGCTGAAGCAATCCTTTAGTTGTTCAAACGTAAAACACATGCAGACGAGTGCTAAAACTTCATGGAAAATATTGTGGTTAAAATAAATTGACATATTTTTAAGACATGGCGTTGAAGAATGGAATTTAATGCAGTGCTTTGTCTGGTCTGAGACCCACTTTATATCGTATCAATCAGGCAGTGACGATTATCTTAATCATATTAATCACGTTCAGCAATTTGTTCAATATGTAATTTATCTTAATGTTTCCTAATATAATTAATCGGTAAACAATATGTTGATTAAAAAGTTGGTTGTGTTGTTACTTGTGCTGAATTTTGAACCTAAATGATAATCATGTGCTTCCTTTCATTTGAGGTACTGTACAACAAGTTTCCTTTGCTGAGTTCCTTGGTCAGGGGTTAAACACATTTTCTGTCCAGTACTGCAGTTGGAATTTTCCATCAACATTTTTATGGTAAGTAACTGCAAAACATTTATTACTACACATTACAGTAAATAGTTTCTTAACTGAATATGTTGCTCTGAAAAATCTAAATAGTCCCAAAAAAGGAAATTTACTCACTATTCACTCACCATGTTTCCATGGTTCCAAACCTTTGAGTTTCTTTTATCTGTTGAACACAAGACAAAATATTTTGAAGAGTTTTAGAAACCAGTAATCATTGACATTCATAGTAGGAAAAACATATTATGGAAGTCAATGGTTACCGGTTTTCATCATTTTTCAAATGATCTTATGTTGTGTTTATCAGAACAAAGAAACTCAAACAGGTTTGTGACAAGTAAAGAATAACTAAATGTTATTGTTGCTTCCCTAGTTTTCACAGTACTAGGGTGCAGTAAGAGCACAAACACAGAGTTCAACTTTGATTCAACTCCGTGATTCTCTCAAGAGAGCCGACCAAAATGTTTGACCTGCCATAAAATGATTCGACTATCTGCCGACCAAGAGAGGTTATTCACCTTTTTTTTCCTCCTGTACATTGCATCAACACAGCACAGCAAATATCAAAGTTGAAATTTAATTTGATTCAAAGAAGAGTCGCATCAGAATTTGGCTCAAAATTGCACAATGCACATTCGGCCTTAAGCCTGGTTTGTACTTCTGCGTTGAGTGATTGGCGTGACCTACGGCGCCTGCCCTGCGTGGAGCTGAGCACTTATACTTGTGCGCGCTGTTTGTGTTGTTCTACAATAACACTTACAAAAGCAGTAGGTTTATATGTTCCCTCTGTATGGAGTTTCTTCGCTTGGGTTTTGTTTTTTCTGAACACTACCTTAATGAACAAGAAGATAAAACTCGCTCATTCTGAGGCGGGAGCCGGCAGTCATGCAACAACTTTAATCATAAGGTAAACACAAAGCAACAGTTTCCACCTGGAGCTATTTCATGGGACTCTACACTTGTAAACACTCGCTCCAATGGGTTGGCGTGGCTCTCAACCCCGCCCACACACGTAAGCGCTACCAAGCCCACTAATAGAGCGTGCGCTACGTGTTGTTGCGATGTGTAGTTACATTTTTGGAGAGATGCGCCACGGCAAGGGCTATTCGACTGCGCGCAGGCTGCGCCGCACCATACACGTGCATTTGATGCAGAAGTATAAATCAGCCTTTACATGTCTTTATCTTGGCTGAACATGGTAAATTACAAGGTAGTCAAAAAAAGAAATCACTTTAAATGTAGTGTAACTAAACAAACTATTCACAAGTAAACAGTCAGTTGATTAAATAAATTTGAGTATCATTATAAATGTAATATACATGTAAGGGACAATCGTCAGATTTAGGTGTGTTAAAGGATAAGTGCACAACATCGAGGCAAAGTTTAATGTTTAGATTATTACTGCAAGTTGAAATTTAATATAGTTTTAATTTCTAAATATAACATTTTAAAAATAAATATATAGGCTATGTTCTGAATAATGCTCATGTCTATGCTTATCATGCCACAAACATACTTATATTCTATGTATTTGACGATGCAGTCAATGCATGCACTGAAAAAAATATGCTTATAGGCTACCTTTACCTGCATGTTTCGCTAGCTGGGCAAAACTTAGATAGGCTATTAATAATGGATATACATTAAATATGTATAATTTTATTTGTGAAAGCAAGAGAGAAACTTGTGGGAGTGCTGTAATAAAGGAGTCTCAAATGACTAACAATTGTACATTACGGTAACGTGTTTTATTCCGGACATGGCATATGACATAAATAATCGATAACATTTGAGCTGGTTTCAGTTATTAATTCTTTTTATTTTTAAAAATATATTTATTTAACAGGTGGCGCAGTGAGAAGTGCTCTCACCTCACAGCAAGAAGATCGCTAGTTTGATTCTCGACTGGATCTGTTGGCATTTCTGTGTGGAGTCTGCATGTTCTCCCAGCGTTCGCATAGGTTTCCTCCGGGTGCTCCGGTTTCCCCCACAAGTCCAAAGACATGCGGTATAGGGGAATTGGGTAAGTTAAATTGTCGTAGTGTATGTGTGTAAATGAAAGTGTATGGATGGTTCCCAGTGATGGTTTGCAGCTGGAAGGGCATCCGCTGTGTAAAACATGCTGGATAAGTTGGCGGTTCATTTCGCTGTGGCGACCCCAGATTAATAAAGGGATTAAGCCGAGAAGAAAATAAATTAGTATTTATTTAACTTAATGTTAATATAACACTACTGATGATTTTTAGCTGAATCTGTGGTACATGGTGATTCAAATTATGGCAGCGAATGAGGATGGGTTTTTCAGTTTAAGAATAAAGTCCAAATCTAAAGCCATGGCTCCTGATGAAGGTCCTGTAAAGTGAAACGATTGGTCTGTGTAAGAAATTTAACATTATTTGCAATATTAGCATTAATCCACGGCCTGGTCAAACAGATGGTTTTTGGGTTGTGAGACGTAGTTTAGACGAAGTTGTCGGCGATTCTTCCTATTGTAAAGTCATGCAATGTTCAAGTCCCTGTCGCCGATCCATCTTGCAGTGAAAATAAAGCAGCAAAGACTACTTTCAAAATCATGCAGTCTGAACTCGGCATTAGTTAATGATTAAACTTAGAGACCTGGATATCGACACGTCTCTCTGCAACTGGATTATGTACTTTCTGACTAAAAGACCTCAGAATGTTAGATCAGGCCACATCTGCTCCACCAACTTCACACTTAACCCTGGTGTACCACAGGGCTGTGTGCTGAGCCTCTTCCTCTACTTCTTTTTTACTATCAACTGTAGGCCTGTGAATAGATCCAACATCATCAAATTTGCAGATGACACCACAGTGATTGGTCTAATCAGCAATAATGATGAGACGGCCTACAGGGAGGAGATACATCATCTGTCCACTTGGCCACTACCAAGCCGACCAATCACAGAGCTTGCGCTACGCGTCGTTTCGATGTGTAGTTACATTTTTTGAGAGGTACACGTCAGCGACGCCGACGGCCACGGCGAAGGGCTATGCATCAGCGCCGTAGCATTGGCGTGCGTTTGACGCAGAAGTATAAATCAGCCTTAAGGAACAGCACTTTCCTCAGAGCTGTACCTTTTTTAACTCTATCCCCCACTAATTATTTTGCCCTCCTAATACACCCCCACTGTCCTCATAACTTGTACTCCTCATTATCATTGCACTATTTAACATTTGCACATTTAAAAATTACACATTCATTGCACTACATTAGACTGATTCATTCATTTGAACTATACATATACTGTACACTTGTAATTGTTTATCTATCTGTACACTTCTGATTATTAATAGCAACCTGTACATATAATAATTTATTTTAAATCTCTGTTCATAGCTAATACAACCTGTATATAATGTTGATAGTACATCCATCTGTAAATATCACTAAAGTTTTTCTATATCTGCACTTTATAAACTGATTTTCATTGCATTGTACTTGTACATGTGTAATGACAATAAAGTTTAATCTAATCTAATACATTTCTTAACGTTTTCCAATTTGTCATTTATGTATTTAACTAATCAAATTTGTATTATTTACAGACAACCGATGTCCATGTCAAAAGAGCGTCTATTCTTTAAGCTCTCTTTACTTACCTTGGTGAGGATGAGGCATGCCTGGTGAAAGAATACATGGTGAGTGCATCATAGTACTAGTGCTTGCACCTGGGCTATAAGAAAGAACTGAGGGTGGGGTTACAGTGGCCAATGAGACAAACAAACTTTTTTGAGTGCCATATTTGAATTAATAGGTGAACCTAATGTTGAACACATTATGGTCTATTCAAATCACATTGCGCTGCACAAACACTTGCTAGATTCGTGCAAGTAAGTTGCATACTAATTCAATGCAAAAGTATGAATAGAACAATGAACAAAATATTTTAATATCTCAAAAACAAAATTAATAATTTTAAAGAATTTGAAAATAGTGTTTTCACTGTATGTCAATGGCTTTTTTCTTTTTTCAAATGCTTTCTATTTCCATATATTTGTACATGAAGTTAAAAAAAATGCCATTGGTCACTACACGCGTAAGAGCAACCTATTATCTTTTGCCTCAAACTCTTGCATTGTAATGGTAATACACACTGTTATTGAACCGTGAGAAAACTATCAGCTTGTTGAGTGTGACATCACATCGCTTGACTATATCAAATAGTATTGGGAGACTCAACAAATGGTAATAATAAACATTTACAAAGCGATGTAATACTTTTTGAAAATCGCAATATATGTGCCTAATATTAGTATGCCTAAAAATACTAAATGATTAAAAGTTGCATATGTTTCTTAATCCTTTGACGTTCTCAGCATTGGGTTCAGATCTGTGTTTGACCCCAGAGATATTCATTGTTTAGCCCAGGGGTGTCCAAGCTTGGTCCTGGAGGGCCTGTGTCCTGCTAAGTTTAGTTCCAATTCCAATTAGACACACCTATGCTAGCTAATCAAGCTCTTACCTGGTGATCTAGAAACTATCTTGCCTCAACACACCTGCAAGGATGAGCTAAAATCGGCAGAACACTGGCCCTCCAAGAAGGAGTTTGGACACCCCTGTTTTAGTCTTTCTAAACAGTATTATTATTTCTAAATTACAAACAAATAGTCACAGAATTACAAGTAAACCACTTTTTTCCAAAAAAGAGAACATTTATGTTTATGTTAAGATTAAAATTACTGTTTAAAAGCAACTTGACTTGAATTACATTTTTAGGTCAATGGGTGGCCGTACTAACAATCAAAAATGTATTGCTGAATAATTCTTCTAAAATGTTTAATCTAATAATGAAACATGACGTTTTTTTAAAGTTTAAATTTGTATATTTACTTATACATTTAAAATATACTTAATATATTTAAATTATTTTGGTTTAATTAATGACACGTAAAAATACTAATTAAATAAATATACATGTCTATTAATTTGTCCAATTAAATTTGTTTTATTATCATTGTACTTTTTTTATTATTTGCAGAGGTCCTGTGGGTCTTTGAAAAGTCTTAAGTATTAAATTAGATGTTTACAATTTAAGGTCATAAAAAGTCTTAAATTTTGCATCAAGGTGTGACATTTCTACTGAATTTCATTTGCTGATGTTTATTTTACTTGTGGACAATTATTCTTAAGCCTTGTGTGCTGTTGAGGATATTAATTTGGCGACAGATTTCTTTGTTTGAGCTCATGAAATGATTTTTGGTGACATGTTATTTTTACTCATATTTTGGGAAAATGCTTTTAAATTTTTAAAAACCTCAACAATACACTCTGGGCAAATGTATTACTCTTTTGTTATGTTTGTGGCTGATTTTGCCTCATTGACTTCCATTATAACAATATTCTTTAATTGCAAGGTCATGACAGTATATTAAATATTTTCTAAATCTTTAATGGTTTTTCTTGTTAGGAAAAGGTCAAATTTGTCATTTTTATAGTTGATCATCAGTTGCAGAGCAAAACATTGCAAAGGTTTGTGGTTTTTATTTAGAGTTATACAGAGTAGTGTGTGTGTGTGTGTGTGTGTGAGTGTGTAAGTGTGTAAGTGCGTGTGTGCGTGCGTTCGTGAGACTTTTGCACACATTGTTTTGAAAGTTGCTTATTTACATTTTTTCAGACATATAGTAAACATAGTAAGTGTATTTATGCACACATACACACACACACACACTATCATTTACTGTTTATACTCCAAAGAACTCCATATAAAAGCCAGAAACTTTTTTGCACAGGACTATCTAGATGGTTATGCTGTCAACTGATTATCAACAGTAAAAATGACAAAATATACATCTGCCGAAAAGAGAAGAAAACCAGCAACAATGGGTGATTACATGCTGTCATGGATTTGCATCCAAAAAATGTTATAATGGAAGTCAATGGAGCAAAAAAAAACAGCAACTAACATAAGGAAAGGGTAGTAAATTTAAATAATACAGAAGGGTTAAGGTGAACAATTATGACCAGGTATATTGATATACAGTGAATCTGATCAGAAGGTACTTCCACATTCAAGTGGCCAAATCTGTGGTTTTCAAGCCTTAAACCTTGGGTAATATTATTTAAATAATAATGCAATAATGCTTCCTTGACATTATATTTAGTTTTCAACATAATACTGTATTGTTTGCCTTTCAATTATTTTTTCCAAAATTATTTTTAGTTAGTCTTAAAAGATCTTAAATTTACCCTGATAAAACCTGAATAAACCCTGTAAATAATTGTGAAGGAGTCGTACTTGCAGATCATGCACAAATATATGTTCGCCAATATGCAATCATAAATGATTGATATAATATTTCACAGGTATCAATGTGGGTGTGGGGAGGGCCGTTAAGGTTTTGGTTTTATTTACATTTGATTTCTTCTGACTTTTTACAAAATATGTTTCAAAAACAATGTCTAATAATGGTTTCTTTTTATTTAAATATAGGGCAACCAAAAAGAAGAATTTTTGAAGGACCTGGCAACAACACCACCATGGCCATATGTGTCATCAAAAAGGAAAGAGGAGATTATGAGGACATTGGCATCGTTGTGGATGGAACAGTGATGGAACAGATAAAATCTGTTGCACAAGCCTGTGCACTGATGTTGGGGGCAATTTATGTGCTTGATTTGGCCTACCCAAAAGAACTCAAATACTATTACGAGTTTGCCCAAAAAGTACTTGTGCAAATGAACACTGGATGAAAGATCATCATCTTCAGCTGAACCTCGCAAAAACGGAAATGCTTGTAGTTTCTGCCAACCCGACTCTACACCATAACTTTTCAATCCAGATGGATGGGGCAACCATTACTGCATCCAAAATGGTGAAAAGCCTTGGAGTAACGATTGATGACCAACTAAACTTCTCTGACCACATTTCTAGAACTGCTCGATCGTGCAGATTTGCACTCTATAACATCAGAAAGATCCGACCCTTCTTATCTGAAAATGCAGCTCAACTCCTTGTTCAAGCTCTTGTTCTCTCCAAACTGGATTACTGCAACTCTCTACTAGCTGGGCTTCCAGCTAACTCTATCAAGCCTCTTCAACTGCTCCAGAATGCAGCAGCACGAGTTGTCTTCAATGAACCTAAACGAGCACATGTCACTCCGCTGCTAGTCCGTTTGCACTGGCTGCCAGTTGCTGCTCGCATCAAATTCAAAACTCTGATGTTTGCCTACAAAGTGACTTCTGGCCTAGCACCTTCTTATCTGCACTCACTTCTGCAGATCTATGTGCCCTCCAGAAACTTGCGTTCTGTGAATGAACGTCGCCTCGTGGTTCCATCCCAAAGAGGAAAAAAATCACTTTCGCGAACGCTCACGCTCAATCTGCCCAGTTGGTTGAATGAACTCCCTAACTGCATCAGAACAGCAGAGTCACTCGCTATTTTCAAGAAACGACTAAAAACTCAACTATTTAGTCTCCACTTCACTTAATAATCTGCAATTGCCTATTTGAATATCACACTAACTGTACAAAAAAAAAAAAAAATTACTAACACTTCCCTTCTTAGACTTTACAGACCTGAAACTTGCCTTTAGTACTTATTCATTGTTGCTCTTAGTTGTGTAAATTGCTTCCTTGTCCTCATTTGTAAGTCGCTTTGGATAAAAGCGTCTGCTAAATGACTAAATGTAAATGTAACTCTGACAAGCTCTCTTCAAAGGTTCTCAGACTGGAAAACAGTGTGATACTGTAATTTTAAGCATTGAAGTGTTGATAAATGCTCAACAACCAAATGTATATCATATACAAATAGCAGTTTAGTGTAGGAATTGTTTAATAAGTGAATTCAGTTTTCTTTGTGTGCAAAATTAATTAGCTATAGGAACTTGTTTTAAATGGTGTGTATGTGTGTGTGCGTGCGTGCGTGCGTGTGAGAGAGAGAGCATGTGCATTCTATAAACTTTGTATTTATTCCATTTCATACAACTTGTAGTTGCTCAATATGTTAATGAGTTAATTTTTTAAGTTAATTAGTTGATTATTTTGTGTATTGGGGTGTGTGTGTCATAAGGATTGCAGTTTGCTCCAAGACTTCATACAGTTTTCTTTTATGTGTTGGTTTAAATTAAATGTGCTGTACAAACTGTTTATTGTTTTATGGTGTGCTGCTAAAGCATTTATAGGCAGTGATTTATGTTTTGTTAAAAAATGCATCTTAAAAGTCATTAAAATGAATTCAAAACAAATGTGGTCAAGTGTCATTTCAAAGTGTATTTGCAAGCAGTTTTATGATCATTTTAGACATAAAAAATAAATAGATGTAAGTAGGAATAACATAATTAAATTATAGTGAACTAAATGAATTTCATTGGATAAATGTAACTAAATAAAATTGATTAAATCCAACTTATTTTGATTGTTTAAATCCAACACATATAAATTGAGTAAATCCAACCTAATTTGATTGTTTAAATCCAACACATATAAATTGAGTAAATCCAACTAAAATTGTTTGCTTAAACTTAACCCAATTCAATTATTTGCAACAGCTTGCCTTAAAAAAATTAAGTAAATCCAATGAATCATTTTTTTCAGTGTGTGCCTACATGTTTTGATAACACCTGACTTCAACAGGGTAACCTGATGTAGCCGCAGTTTTAAGGAACAATAAAGGCTTTTTATTATTTTTTCCACATTTTTTAGTGCCTTTTTTAGTGTCTAATTTGGATGTTTATTCTGATTAATCCCTTACACAAAGAGCACCGACACATTATGAAAACTGAAAACTTTTTGTTTGATTTTGGATTTTTATACACAGCCTAATAAGTATTAAAATTAACTTTAATAGGCTGTTTTTGGTCCTTTCGAACCTTTTCATTCATTTTTTTTTTCTCTCAAAAATAAGGTTCAAGATTTAAAATAAGTTAGACTACTTGTAAAATGTAACAAGTCGATCAATAGTGAAAGTTGACCACTTATGTCATATTGTGCGATTTCTGAAAACCTTCGATGGGTTATTTCCACAATTTATCATGACATAGCAGACAAAATAGGTCAAATGAGAATATAATGGCATAAATTCTGGACCAATGGCAAATTCTGGACCACCCGAACCCCCCCTGGCTACGGGCCTGAAGTCTACACTGTAAAAAATGCAGGGATTAATGCAAATGGATTAAGTTAACTTTACAGATTTAACAAATGTATGTAGATTGAACCGAAAAGAAAAACAAGTTGTCAAAAAACAAGCTCATTTTAAATGAGTAGTTTGTACAAGCAACAATATTTTCAGTGTATAGTGCACAGTATAAATGAGTTTAAATAAGTAAGTGAATAAAAAGTCAGTATAGACAATACATTTGGTATTATTAGATGCTAATAAGTTACACTCACCGGCCACTTTATTAGGTATACCTCACTAGTACCTGGTTTGACCCTCTTTTGCCTTCATGCATGCCTTAATCCTTCGTGGCATAGATTCGACAAGGTACTGGAAACAATCCTCAGAGATTTTGGTCCATATTGACATGATAGCATCACGCAGTTGCTGCAAATTTGTGGCTGCACATGCATGATGTGAATCTCCCATTCCACCACATCCTTAAGGTGCTCTATTGGATTGAGGTCTGGTGACTGTGGAAGCCATTTGAGTACAGTGAACTGGAAATAATTTAACAAAATAAAATTAGTTGCCTATACGCCCCAATGAATATGCAAAAGTATAATAAAGTGGAAGTCAAGAAATCCATAAAAATAGATACAATTATGTCAGTTGTAGTTTTTATTATTTTTGCAATTCTTTTTTTATCTTTTTAAATTAGCAATAACACAATAACTGTAATGTATACACACTCACCGGCCACTTTTGTTTTGTCCAACTGCCTGTTAACTCAAATTTCTAATCAGCAAAACACATATCAAAAAGACAAACGAATACATAGACTAAATATTACTTTATAATAAATTAAAACAAGTTATTTGGTGTTTGCAATTTTACTTTAAACATTAGGATTTCAATTAAGATTTATTCAGATAAATACATTAAGCAAATTCATTCATTCATTCATTTTCTTTTCCACTTAGTCTCTTTATAAATCAGGGGTCACTACAGCGGAATGAACCACCAACTTATCCAGCATATGTTTTACACAGCGTATGCCCTTCCAGCTGCAACCCATCACTGGGAGACAGAAAGATCAAGATCCTATAACAGAATTCAAAAGCATAAATAAACAGAGAAAAAAAAAAGAATCACAAAGCTGCTAATTTATAGATATATTTTGCAGTGCAGGGTACAAGTTTGTCTTTGTTTGAATAAAAGACAATATATATATATATATATATATATATATATATATATATATATATATATATATATATATATATATATATATATATATATATTGAAATATATATTGAAATATATATATATATATATATTGAAATATATATATATTAAAATGAATATATATATATATATATATATATATATATATATATATATATATATATATATATATGTGAACAAAGTATGAAATTGTGATTAGACCACTTCAATGTCATTTATAAATGTAATCTATCTATCTATCTATCTATCTATCTATCTATCTATCTATCTATCTATCTATCTATCTATCTATCTATCTATCTATCTATCTATCTATCTATCTATCTATCAATTCCTTTGCATTAAAGCAGGTGCACAGTGAGTGTGCTTTGTTTATCCTGCTTTTGGGCTGTAATGAGGCGGCATGTGGACGCGCGTCTCATGTATCCAAGCGGCTGGAATGTCTATTTATAGCGTAACTGGAATTAGAAGTCGCAACACTAAGAACGGAGCAAGACATGATCCGGGAATGGACACGGTAGAGCGTCTCTCTCCGCGCACAACAGGACAGTAAACGCAGACGGTGGTCGGACGAAATCAAGATGCCTGCGAACCAGACTCGATCCAGGGCGAGGGAGCGGAACAATGTGCTCAACAGACCCGAGTTTATGTCTTTAAATCAGCCGATAAAGAGCGGCGGCGGCGGCGGCGGCGGTGAATCTCGCGGTACCGCGCGCAGGCCGTCGCAGAGACAACAGCAAAATCAGCAGCAGCAAGGTGATAATCCGCAGCCCGAGAACAACAAAGACAAGAAGGAGCTGCCAGAAGAAGACTGCATGCAGCTAAACCCCTCATTCAAAGGCATCGCCATGAACTCTCTTCTGGCCATTGATATCTGCATGTCTAAACGGCTCGGTGTGTGCGCGCACCCCTCGTCGTCGTGGGGAAGCGTGCGCTCCATGGTCAAGCTGCTCGCGCTCACTGGACACGGCATCCCGTGGGTCTTCGGCACCATTGTGTGCCTTATGAGAAGCAACACGTTGGCAGGGCAAGAGGTTTTGGTCAATTTGCTGCTAGGTGAGTTGTTTTGTGAGAACGAGTTAAGACGGGTGCCCTTTCAAAGGGATAGTTCACCCAAAATTGAAAATGTACTCACCGTATGGTAATACTAAGGCTTTTTGAGTTTCACAAAAGAAGATATTTTGAAGAAAGCTAATAAAACCTGTACCCGCTGACTTCCATATTGATGGTTTTATATTTGCACATTCGTTCAGTGAAAGCTTCATACATTTGTTTACCATGGTACTTTGAATATTCGGACTGAAATCGCATGCATGACTTCAAAACAACATTAGCACTATTTAATTGACTGTAAACAATGTTGTGTACTTTGATAGTCAATTGCTGATAATATGATTTCACTGTTTAGAATTCGCAATTAATACTTTTCTGAAATTATTTTATTTAGGAGATAGTGTGAACATAAAACCAACTTCTCAAGGACATCCATAGTACAAAAACAAACTGAGGTAAATTTGGTTTTATATTTTCACATTTGAGCTTCCACATTCCAAATATAATTTCAGAAAAGTATTCTTTGGAAATTCGCAGTGGTGGAAAGAGTATATAAAATCATACTTGTGTGTATCAAAATTTAGTGCAAGTAAAGTATCGGTTGTAATTATTACTCAAAGTATGAGTTAAAAGTAGCCCTTTCAATAGTACTCAAGGGTAGTGAGTATTGAATTGAACTGTAAAAAGCTGATGCATTTACATGTAATTTGTGGATGTTTGTAAACGTAACATTCTGTAGTGCATCGAGTTATTGCCCAGCAGGCACACAACGTCATAAGACGTCAATATCAGGTTAGATTAAGGTTGTGATGTCAGGTAAACAAAATTCATTGTCTATCCAGCATCTAAGGACGATCTTACTTTGATGTCCAAGAACAACATCAAATGATGTTGATATTTGGTTGCTTTTAGGTTGTGTTGGAAAGTGACCAAAATCCAACATCGAGCCAACATCTTAAACCAATGACATATTGACGTCAAAGACTGACATTTAGACGTCTTTTGATAGACGTCACAGTGGTAACATCCACACAACGTCAAGCTGTAACATCATTAGACATTGATATTTGGTTGATTTTAAGTTGGACATTGTCGTCGGCCTGACGATTTTCATTTCCAAACAAAACGCAACGTTCCCATGACGTTGGGGTACAACGTCAATCTGACGTCATGTTGATGTCCTGTGCCTGCTGGGTGTTTACAGCCATTTTGGTCATCATACAGTAAACATCCGTCACTTTCTCATCAGTGACATGCATCTAAACAGTCTCTGGGTCAAAGCGTGTAAAGATTTTGGACATCTTCTTGGACACTTTTAATGTTTCCAAACAGTTTGCTGCATTTATAAATCGCCCATGTCTTGAGGTAGTTCATTATGATGCGATTTACCTTCTATGTGTGGTTTGATTGGACAGGAATCACAGGAGTGATTTTTCTAATTTGCATAGACAAGAACAAAGAAAGTAGTGACTGCAGGTTGAAGGAAAGTAGTGGAGAAAAAGTACCAGTACAGCACTAAAAATGTAGCATGTCAGACTGCATAAACATGGCTCCCATGTCACACTGTAAGATTTTAGGCAGTTGTCATAAAGTCAGACTGAACAACAATGAAGACGCGCCAAACACAAAAGAAAACGCTCCCGGAGTTTGACATCATCCACCCATGACATTTTCACTATGCTGCGTTCTGAAATGATTCCTCACAGCAAACGTAAACAATCAGTAGCGGCAATATTGGCAAGTCTCAATAATAAAACTAGGAAGACATTTCCCCGCGGTCATTCGAATTGTCGCATGGATTGCGTCACCAAATTGAGAGCTCCTATTGGTTCTTGGATTGACGCTCATCGCAGCTGTTGTCACAAAGCAGGAAAGTGTCTGAAATCTTCTGAGTTCTGACACTGCCAGAACTTAATCGGAGGGCAAATCTGATCCCAACAGACACTAATGCCTAGTTCAGACTGAGTGATTTTAGCCCCGATTTTGGCTCGCCGACAGGTTTTGAGAAATCGCCGACAAATGCCTAAAATCACAGGTAAATCGGTGCTCGAGCACATGAGTGACAATCACACAGTATGAACTATCAAAGACACGATCTGAGAGAATCGCCGATGAGTCGCCGATGCCCGCTAGACATTTGGCATGCTAAATATCTGGAGCTGTCGGCGATTCAAATCATGCCGTGTGAATTGAGTTTTGACTGAAAATAACATCAGCGATTGCCTACAGCCAATGAGAGAGCGGCATTCACTTGCGTGTGTGTGTGTGTGTATACCTATGGTGTATACCTGCTGCAGGCCAGCAGGAGGCAGGGGTAGAAGTTAAAAGCGCTCTTTTTCAGTTTATTTGGACCCACGAAATGGAGGAAAAACTAGTGGAGCATTGACAGGACTCAGGAGCAACCGTGTCTGTTTGACGTTTCATACAGAAAGAAATTAGTTTATTAGCAACGTTGAGGAGAAATGGCTAATTGCCTTTAAACCCAGGTGAGCAAATATGTACATTTTCTACCCCATTAAAAGCTTCTTTCTCATTATGTAGTTAATAACAAAAGATATACAACGTGTTTTTGGCTGTGTTTGGACGAAGTTGTCGAAAAGTCATGCAATGTGAAAGTCCCTGTCGCCGATCCATCTTGCAGTGTAAACAAAGCAGCGACGAAACGCTAGCCCAGATAGTCATGCAGTGTGAAAACATCTGTGACACGACTATTAAAATCATGCAGTCTGAACTCGGCATAAGCGGCTGTCTGTGAACATGTCAAACCCACGATCAAAGACCACAGATTTTAGCACAGGATTTCAGAAAACTTTTTGGATTTCCCAAATTTGTCTCAGATGACCAAATTTTTGCTGAAATCTCATAGTGTGAGCAGGGCTTCAGTAAATTACAATTCCTGAGAAAAACCACTCAATTAGAGTAATTTGAGTATTTGTAATTTTTACTTTACATCACTGGAAATTCGAAATGGGAAAATCATATTAGCAGCCAATGAGCATTAGAGCACAACATTGTTGACGATCAATTAAATAGTGCTAATGTTGTTTTGAAGTGATTTCAGCCCCAGGATTCAAAGTTGGATGTCACAAATTGTCACTGGTCAAAAATAAACAAATGTGCGAATATTAAACCAAATTTACCCCAATCAAAACAAACATGGAAGTTAAGGATTCCGACATTTATCTTTTTTTTTTTTTGTCCAGAAGAGGAAAGTAGCTAATGAACGTTTGACACAAGTAAAGGGTTGGGTAAATTATTGGGTAAACTCTCTCTTTAAGAAGAAACAAAACATTAGAAATCATCACAGAAGTTTTAATGGTTTCCACTACAAATATCATTAAAAGCATTACAAACCATCAAATTTAGTACACCCTAATGGTTCCTAATGTGGTCAGCACATATTCCATTAAAATTTATTGGCAAAAAAGAAAGAAAGAATAAAATAGCAGTCCAGTAAAGACCCAGTGGAGCAATATGGCTTGCATTAAAACCAAAACAATGTCCTTTCTATCCATTCAAACATCTGTGGTGGTTTCTCCTGATTTTTTCCTTCAGCAGAGTATACATTACTATTTTGGTCCCACACTTGCTGCTGTAATTGAGTAATGTCTGCGTCTGAACCAATACAAAGCTCTCCTTACGAAAACGAGTCTTGCTTTTATAAGTCTGCCAATAAAAGCAAAACTTTACCAAATGAACCATTTTATCTGCTGTACGACAAAACAAGATAATAAACATGCTTTTATTATAATAAAACTATGGTCGATTTTGGTGAGGATCTTTTTTAGTCTCTAACAATGAGTAAAATACTATGCTTGTTACTGACATTGATGCTTTAAAATGGTAGCTAAAAAAACTGTTGTTATAACTTGATTTGTATTTGTAAAGTTCAGATATGATGCACATTTTTGGACTCAACCATTTACATTGAATTTGAATCCATTATGTTCATATCTGAGAATGAAAACATGAGCAAGACCTTAAGGAAGGCTGTGATTGTGTTCGGATTTGGATTTGAAAGCGCATCTCCAGCAGCTTGTGAGGATGCTGCTGGGTTTGTAGGTCAGTGGATGAGGGAATATGAGGATATGTGATCTCACCGACAGACATGTGACTACTGCAGGCTGACATACGGAAAACCTTTTCTTTTTTTACTTTTAAATAATAATATTATTAATTTGATTTCACTATTTATTAAAAGAAACATTTCAAACCCAACACTATTTTCTAATCATGAACTCAAACCTAATGCCATTCTAGAAGTATGAGATTATTTCTTAAGTAAAATATTTCAGCAATGGATGTCCATCCATACATGATACTGGAAAAATATGAAATATGCAATGTTGTTGTTGAATACTGCGATAACAATTTTCCTTACAATAAATCTTTATTAGCTATGTTTTTAAATAATGTATTAATTTAGTGATAATAAAATAAACTGGTAAAATACATATTTTTTCAGATCTAATTATTTCAAATTTAGACTAAACAACTGTGTTGAGAAGCAAACATTTAGGGCCCTATCATACACTTGGCGCAATAAGGTGTAAGACTTGTTTGCCACGATTTGTTGCTATTTTCAGACCAGCACAACCCTAATTTTCACATTTTGCACCACGTAGTTTAAACAGCAAATTTATTTGCGGCACTTTGTGGAGTCATGGGCATGTTGGTATAAAATAGAGGTTTGTTAAGGCGCAAGCGTTGCTATCTACGTTGAGAAACTGTAACAAACAGCGCGATTGGCCAAATAAAAGCTGGTCTAAAGTCCAGTGCAGAGTGTGTTAGTTAAGCGCCTATGCATGTCCAAAACTCTTACACATAGCTTAATGTGTAATACACAAATATCTTCAAATATGAAAAAGAATTAAAGGATTAAAATGTTACAAAAATTTTTATTTTTTACACAAATATAAAAACCACCGCCTCCATGCCTTCTTCATGTCTGTGGTTTTTCAATTTATTCACTATTTGCATTAATATAATGCTATTATTATTATTATATGCATGTTTATATTTGTTTTAATAAAAACAAGTTAAGATTTTTCATCTGTTGGGTTTTAAAGACTTCGCATCATAATATGGGGCATAAAAATAGGACGTGTGAATGGATATAACTCAGTTTTTTGACACACTTCACTACATTATTAGTTTATTGAAAATTAGACTGTATTTAGAAATAGTTTTGAAACAAATCGACAATTAGTATTTATTTTCAGCTCTGGGTTCACCTTTAAGCCGCTCCAGCCAATAGCTGAATAACAACTACTGGGAAGGCGGGGCTAGCAAGGCCCCATCTGATTTGTCAAATTTAGATAAGCAATCATTGCATAAAAAAATGTCATTTATCACACTTGTCAGCGAGATGTGTGTTGCATATACTATTATCGCGATATTGTTCCAAAACATATCTAACTGTCACTGTTCTGTTACTTTTGTTCTGTTAGTCTTTTGCTGTCAGTCTGACCGTCTGGTTACACGAGACAAGATGTTGACAGCTTCTAAACCGATTTGAATCTGTGGCATAATGGTGGTCTCAAATTAATGATATTTCTGCTAAATAAAGATAGGCTCATCGTCTTTTCAATAGTGTATCAATATAAGAAGCACAACTGAATGTGCAATATCACAGGAGTAGCAGTGCGATATGACTGTATATCAGCACTGGAGGGAGGCATGTGTTGGCTCGAGGCCTTAGGTCCAGTGACTCTAGCTCCATTGCTAAATGGCTAACATGGATTTTATAAAGAGGATGGCTGTGTTTATGTGCTTTTATGAAGGCTGTAAAACAGCTTCAATTCATTTGGAGGTGTGTCTGAGTCCACTAGATATTTTCAGAGGTGCACCCAGCTCTATGAGTTCATCATCTCCTCCAGAAACTTAACCTGGATGATGGAAGCTTTCAGCAGTGCTTCTGAATGAGCCAAGCCCAGTTTGATGAGGTGTGGTTGGTGTCAACAGGATAATTCGCCCTCGGGACACCAACAACAGGCCCTATGTCATAATCACGCCCCTACAAGAGCAAGCGACTGAATGGTTAACACGCCGCAAATATACGCTGAAGTTCAGATTTTCCAACTCATGTGATTCGCGGGATAAGCGCAGCAATCACATAAAGTGCCCAACTCGCGCCGCTTCATTTGTGTGAATCTTGGCATTCACACCGTCTCATTTGCGCGTATTACGCCACAGGATGTCTATTCACGGCTTTGCATTGACTTACATGTAAAACACTCGCACTTATCGTTTGATCCACGTCTGGTGTGAACGCAGCATTAGTGTCCCACCAGTTACGAAAAATCAAACCCCGAGCGATTAAAATCATTTTGTAGGAGGAACTACTTTCTTTAGCCATTTATTCACATTTGCAGCTGGCTGTCAGAACAGCAGAAACCGTTGCTACTTCACACGTCACTTTAGAGCTAGTATTTGATTCTCTAGCGTAATGTCTAAAATTATGACAAAACAGAACATGAACATGAAATGCCATCAGTCTACAGGGATTTCCCAGTATTTCTCCGTTGCAATCGGAAGATCACAATAATTAACCCTGAAAAAGGGTTAAAAAGCAAAGCAAATACTACTAGATTACTATGGTATAAATACTGCACTACAACATAGAAAAGAGAGAGATCGACTTAAAATGTCACTTACCTGTTTTATAATGATTTGATCAGCTGTAGTTTGATATTTACAGGGAGTTTTTCTCCCCTAAGGACTTATCATGCAGTCTCTGTCGCCATCTTGTGACGGGACATCAACCATCTTTGTTCTGCTCAGTATGATAGGCTGATGCACGCGCTGAATAAAATAATTACTGAATAATTAAAATAGGCATTATTATAAATAAACTGCATAGTTGCAATCTAAACAACTACATTCTTGCCTGAAAAAGCCTCAAAAGTGCATTATGTTTTCCAACAGCTGCAATATTTGTCAAACTGTAGTGAGTTTATTGATCTGCTGTCACTCTATGGGAGCGGAGTAATACACAAGGGTGAAGAGGCTGTAGGAGTGCTGCTATTGCAGAATATCGCCGATCAGATTCGAGAACCAGAGAGAACTTTTATATAAGAAAAAAATACCTCACTTTAAAACCCGACAGCTTTCTGCTAGGATGGCAAATTCACATGACCAGCTTGAACATGAACAAGATCTGCATGGAAAACCGTTGTGAAAAGCGTTATGGCTTAAAATCATGGCAGGAAAACATACCTATTCTAGATTTTTGTAAATGGTAGCTAATTATTGCAAAATGACAGCATTTTTCATTAACATTTCATTAAATGTGCTTGCTTTATAGCTCTCCTGCTGGATGTGATGACCGTATCAGGCATGCAGAAATTGGTGAAGCGTAAAGGCCCATGGGAAATGCCCCCTGGCTTCTTCGACTACCTGGCCATGGACATCTATTCCTTCCCAGCGGCTCATGCGAGCCGAGCAGTCATGGTGTCGAAATTCCTGCTAGCGCACTTGGTGCTCGCAGTCCCTCTGCGCATTTTGCTAGTGTTGTGGGCTATCCTGGTCGGCATATCCCGTGTGCTGCTGGGCCGCCACCATCTGACAGACGTCGGCTGCGGCTTCGCCTTGGGATTCCTCCATTATAGTTTAGTGGAGATGGTATGGCTGTCCTCCAACACCTGCCAGACTCTAATATCCATTGGAACGTTCAACTGGAGCCCCCTTTACTGATCGCTGCGTGTCTTTTGAAGGATTTCAAAAGTCGCTGCATGTTTGTTTTTTGTTAAGTGCCCTCCTCCTATACTGAAAAGTGCATGATAGATACATGTACTTTTTAAAAAACGTTATTCAAAGCAGCACACACGCACACACACACACACATGCACATGCATACACACGCATAAGCTCAATTTCTTGTTCCATTTCTGCCAAAGCAATATAAAGTTTGGAGGAATGCTTTGGGAAAGCATTGGGTGTACAGTTGATCCTTTCGCTTCGAAGAAAGGATGTTAATGCAAGAATGTTTCTTTGTTTTTTTATATTGCTAACATTGATTAAGGCCATTTGGGTATGTGTGATTTTTATTGGTCGGCTGTTGGATTTTATTGATCACGGTAAGCGAGCGAAACGTTTGCTCAGGGACTTTTATCAAGCAGCATAAGGAGTCGTTTTCAGTTTTCTATTTTCTTGGAATCGTACGTAATATTTACAGCGTGTTGGAGAGAAATGTTGTAAATGAAACCACCGTTGTGAGACTTTTTGGACTGGTTTGGTTGCCTTGAGTTTGAATTCAGAAGTACTTACAGTTCACGATACTCTTGATTGCGTCACGTTTATATGAATAAAATGACTTAAGCATTCGTACTGTACATTTCAAGCACATCTTGTTTCCAACAGAAATTGAGTTGCTGTTTATATGAAACTGTATGTTGTATGGAAGCCCCAGATGTGTCGTTTCAATTACATCTCACACCAAAACGTAACTTTTTGATTAGGTGGCTAACTTGTTTGAGTTTGTACGATATCATTTGTACATTTTAGTATGATTTGCTCATCTACAAATAGATATGTTTCCATCCACCTGTTTTTGTGCGCATTTTGGATATGCACATAAAAAATGGTTGATGCTCATTAATTTTGAAAATGTGCATAAAAACGTATGTTTATAACTAAGTAGGATAAACTTTTTATTAGATAAGAAAAGATTCGCATGAACTACAATGGAAATACTTTTACTGAACAAATTCGAGTTCTTCGCATTAAAAAGTCATGTGATTTTGTTACAAGAGATCATGTGACGATACAAATGTGTGTGAATGGACAAACCAGCAGGTTGAGCACATTGTTAAACCTCTGAAATGTTGTTTTGTTCATTCTAAAATGCCGTAACCTTTTCAGTATTAGTGTTATTATATTATTAATTACCTCTATAATTGTCAAGAGCGTCTGTTCTCTACGTCTCACATTTTCAAGCGCCACCACGCATTCATTGCGTGGCATCGTCTTCTGAGGCGCAAGTCATTTATTAAATATGGAAAAGATTGACGCAGCTTCTCCTACCACAGTAAATTCAGTATTTACTTATGATATTTGGTCCCAGTTTATCAAGAAGTGACGATTTTGTTTTCTTTGAGTCATTGGACGGAAACGCTGCTTTATTCGCACGTCTTTTATGCGATATTCCAGTTTGCATCTTTGGATAGAAACATGACTAATGACGGTAGGGTTTGGTGCCATGCCTCCTTTTAAAAATAGTAAATTTTCCTACGACTGAACTCGTATGAATTTGTACGAATTAGCCACTAAACTGACAAAACGTAAAACAGTTACGTTTCCTTGTGAGATCAGGCTGGCCAATTTGTATGGATTCCACAGCAGTTGTTATGTGTTTGGGCCTTCCGTAAAATAAAAATACCTTAAATGAATTTGATACATGATTGTTGTCAACCAAAAGTCTTGTAGTGCTGTACAGAAAAAAAGGCATAAATGATATAACACATAAGTTCAATGAGTTGTATCTTTTATCATTGTCTTTTCTTCACGATACTGATTGGTTAATAACCTTAAAATGTATGTATCTGCCCCCTGTTTATTTTCCCCCAATATCTGTTTAACTGAGTCTAAACATTTCTAAACAAAATTGTTTCAATAAATAACTGAGTTCTTTTATCTTTGCCATGTTGACAGTCAGGGGCGGATATAGTGATTTTGGGGCCCTAAGCCATTTCAGCCACGGGGCCCAAGTCCTGAAATGCACTTTTTCTACTCTTATTAAATTTTTATTTATATTGCTGTTTTTTTTAATTTTTATAATCACTCATTTTTTTTTCGACAATTAAAATAAATAAAATCTCTACATTTTAAATGATTAGTTTTCTTTAAATTAATTTCCAACTAAAAATAATTAATATATATTTTTTAGAAATTTGACTGCTGGACTGCTCCATGATGGATATTTTATTTTGTGATACTAATAATAGGTATCACTTTACAATAAGGTTGTATTAGTTAATGTTAGTTAATCCATTTACTAACATGAACAGACAATGAACAATTCATTTATCACAGCATTTGCTCATGTTGGTTAATGCAAATACAGTTGCTCATTGTTAGTTCATGTTAACTCAAGGTGCATTTATTACTGTTAACAAGTGTGAATTTAGATTTTAGTAAATGTTGAACTATGATTAATAAATGCCCTGACAAGTACTGTTCATACTTAGTTCATGTTAGTAAACACATTAACTAGCATTAACTATTGAAACCTTACTGTAAAGTGTGACCAAATAAGAATATTGCATAACATTACATTATTATAATAATATTATATTTGATTGTGTGCTAAATAATATTAAATTTAGCTAAAATTGTATTTGTTTAACTCTCACCATACAAAATATGGTAGAAAACGATGTTAGATATATAGTTTATAGATCTAATTTATACTTCTAGATATTTATTGGGGGTCCCCAGATTTCTTAGGCCTCAAAGTGGCCGCTTACCTTGCTGTTTGGTTAACTCCGCCCCTGATGACAGTAAATATTATTTGACTAGATATTTTCAAGATGCTGGTATTCAGCTTAAAGTGACATTTAAAGGCTTAACTAGGTTAATTAGGCCAGTTAGGATAATAAGGCAAATCATTGTGCAACGGTGGTTTGTTCTACAATCGAAAATATATATTTACTGCCTAAATAACCTAATATTTAAACCTAAATGTTTTTTTTTATTATAAAAACTGATTTTATTCTAGCCAAAATAAAACAAATAAGACTTTCTCCAGAAGATAAACTATTATCGGAATACTGTGAAAAATTCCTTGCTCTGTTAAACATCAGTTGGGAAATATTTAGAGAAGGGGCTAATAATTCCGACTTCAGTTGTATGGGTGTGACATCACTGAACATCATGACTCTATATTTTATGGATTCACCCAAAAATGTGTATTTGCTGTTAGTTTATTCCTCCTCAGGCCATTCAAGAAGTAGGTGACTACTTCTAAAAACACATACGAGCAAAACAGAAATAGTTCCCTGTGCCTCATGAGGATACATTTGAGGTCTTATAAAGTGAAACTGTGGTCTGTGTAAGAACTCTATAACACAGTAATGTATGCATCCTCAGACATGCAGATTTTTCACTCTATTTCAAGCTGAGCAATGTGTGCTAGGCAGTTTGTCAAAGGATGTTTACCTTTGCATTGAGTCAGTGTCGAGTTTTAGCCAGCTGTCCAGGCAATACCAAATACCACACTGACCAACTGCATTCTTGTACAAGCACACCAGTGGAAAAATGGAGGAGAAATGTATATTGCTCTAAACTGTGCCAACATATTTAGAAAGAATCAAATGCTCTCTGAAATAAGTTACTAGTAACAGTCTTATTTGTATCGCTTATGTTGTGTAGACCAAATGTCCCCAAGTGTAGCAAGACCAGTACTTTTTGACCTTTTGGTCTTAAAGTGTAAAACGACTCATAAATCACACAGAATGAAGTATTTTGAAAATGTAAAAATACAAATTGTTTTCTGTGAGTGTTGAATTTTGGGGCATAGGTATCAAACATACAGTCAGTACACTCTCAGAAATAAAGCTACGCGAGCTGTCACTGGGGTGGTACCTTTTCACAAGGTACAAATTTTTACCTAAAAGGTCTATATTAATACCTCAAGGGTAAATATTAGTACCTAAAAAGTACAAAAGTGTTACTCTTAAAATTTTTAGATACTAATATATACTTTTGAAGTACCAATATGGACCCTTTAAGTACAAATGCTTAAAAAAAAAGGTATCACCCCAGTGACAGCTTGCTTACCTTTATTTCTGTGAGTGTATGTTATAGAATCATTACGTCTATGGGAAGTCCTCATAACTTTACAAGTGTGTGTGTGAGAAACTATACAATTAGTTTATAATGAAGTTTTCAAAAATGCATCCAATAAGTTTAGCTAAACCGTGCTAACATTTAAAAAAAAAAGAGAGAAATTATCTATGAAATCAGATGAAACAACTGAATAAATAAATAAATACAGACTAGTAATTCAGGTGTAAAATTAAAATCCTTTAAAAATATATATTAAAAAACTATTTTGGGATAAAATAATGTGTTTGTGCATATATTAAATTACAAAAATGTTTTACGATTTGATATTTTATCAGTGAAAAAAAAATTTTGTCTGTTTATTTATGATTATAAATTGCATTATAGGTAATTTATCTCTTCTCTGTTGACTTTTGATGTTGAAAATGTAACTCTGCTGTTTAAAAAAGTGGCTTTGTTTGACATTTTAGTAGTTTGAAATGATATATTGAATGAGAAATCAAATTAACCTTATTCTTCAATGCGGAAGTGCGCACATTTTCGTGATTGTTTTAGAACTTCCGATTTAGTTGCCTATGCGAGAAATGACTGGAAATAACGCCAAAAAACTACCTGCTCTACATACAAGTGTTTGCATGAGTATACAAAATAGAAAAATATATAATAAGAAAATATCAGTTTGCAAGATCCAGCAGCATAACGAGCGGGTTTTAACCTCTAAAAATGAATGGAAGTGAATGAGACTGGAAGACTCAAGTCAAAAACATACAAATGTCTGCGCTCGCTCGCACGCCAAGAATAAGGTGAATAGAGAGCATTGAGTGCATAAAATAACAGAAGTACTGCTAGTTCATTACCAGGTTTCCGATCAATAATTTACAACACCAATACAGACAATATATCACTTTAAAATATTAAAAATGTCAATAAAAGTCACTCTTTTTCAAACTTTTCAACATCAAAAGTTGTTGGGTGAAAGACCGAGAACTTATAATGCAAATCAAAAACATAAATAAATTATAAACAACATAAATCACAAAATATAGAAAACTTTACTGTTTTATAAGTGCTATTCTCAACTTTTTAGTTTTAATTTTTTGTGTTGCAGTCAAACTCCATATGTGTGTTTTTGTGTGTGAGCACAATACATTTATTTTTAAAAGTACTGTTAAAAAGAGCCTGTTTAATTGCACTTCATAAGCCATCCCAGTTTTGTGTAAAGATAGATGATGTAAAAATAAAATACAACCCCAAATCAAACCAAAAGCTGGGACAGTATGGAAAAAGTAGTGATTTCTAAACTTACTTTGACTTGTATTTTATTGCAGACAATATAACAAGCATTATTGAATGGGCACCTATGATGAAAATCTTTTTTTTGTAAGCTGTTTGGACTGATATAAAGACAATGAGTCTCTTTTTTAAAATTTCCTTATGTTAAATCCAAATCCCTCCCATTTTGAGGCCCACCCCAAAGTGACATAGGAGTGCGGTTTCCTGGCCCACCGAATTAATTGACAGCAGCATATTAACAAGTCTCCGTAGTAACATGTATAATCCTATCAACAAGACAGGGCGTACACAACAACTAGGAATAAAAGATCTGTTCAGCTCTCTGTGGTCATCAATCATCAAATGTGATCAAGAGTCCTTTACAAGTTTAAAACAATTTAGATCAGAACATGTGTGTAATGAATTACAACGATTTGACCATCTTTATGTACAATTATAGATGCTCTAATCCCGGTTTATAAATCAGGTTTATTTTGTACATTAACATAACAGATATCCATACAGCAGTGGATATTAACCTGTATCCTGTCACATTTGCCATGCAAAAACAGTGCAAAGTTATACGCACGCACTGTGTGCCTGCCAAGACTACCAACAAAGGAGTCTCCTGTATTTCAGACCCATCTCCCGTATTGCTCTGTCTCCCAGAATTCCACCCCAGCCACCCCCATCCCCCCAAAGTTGGAAGAGTAAAGCATTTACCACTTTGTAATGTCATTCCTTTTCACAACACTTAAAAGACGTATAGAGACGGAAGACACCAAGTGATGAAGTGTTTTAGCTGTAATTTTGTCGTATTCTTCCTGCAAAAAAGTCTTAAGTACAGTACGAGGTCTTCGTTGCTGCATTTTGCGCTTTAAAATGCAACACATATTCTCTGTTGGAGACATGTCAGGACTGCAGGCAGGCCAGTCAATTAACGGAACACAATAAATAATGTTTGTTGCATTGTCTAAAATGAAATACAACTAACATTATTTAATGTGTTCAGGTAATTTACTGGCCTGCCTGCAGTCCTGACCTGTCGTTGAAGAATGTGTTGCGCTTCAAAATGCACTACACATTCTCAATTGGAAACAGGGCAGGACTGCAGGCAGCCCAGTCAATTACCCAAACACATTAAATAACGTTTGTTGTATTGTCCGCAGTGAAATACAAGGCAAAGTAAATTTATATATCACTACTTTCTTTTTTATTTGCATTTTTCATGATGTCTCAGCCTTTTCTGATTTGGTGTTGTAGAAAATGCCAAAATCTTATGCTACAAAAATAAAAGGAATCATGTTTAAAAAATAATAAGGATAATTCAGGTGTCAAGTGAAGGTTAGATTTGAATTCAAGCTATAGTAACACATGAACATTATTATTATTATTAATACTATTGTT